TCTGTTAGAATGGCAAATTACCTTACTATATTTGATCAAATCAAAGATTCTATCAAGTTTAAAACACATCATTATTTATGTTTCAGCAAGGAAGAAAATAAAACAGCTGCCCTTTGAATATTCCAATTTACAATGTTTTTTTAAAAGGGCATCTCTAAATTGATAAAAATACAAAAACTACATTTTCTAAAGATAGAACTGCCATGCATTCCTGAGATTAAACACACATTTATTGGGATATATGTAATTTTTAATACCCACTGCCTCTAATTTGCTATTTTTCCATGTTTAAGAGTGAGACCTGGTTATTTTTAATTTTTGTACTGATACTGTAAAATTTTGGCAAGAGTTTTATACTTTCTATATAAAACTGGAATTCAAAGAAACATGGCATATTTAGCAAAACTAACTCACTAACTCACTATTCTCATTAATAAAACTCTCTAAGCTCGGTAGCTAGAAAGTTTTATTGCCTTTTGTTTTTGTTTTGAGACAGGGTCTGTCGACAAGTCTGTCACCAGGCTGGTGTATGGTGTCATGATCATGGCTAGCTGCAGCCTGTACCTCCCAGGCTCAAGTGATCCTCCCAACTGAGTAGCTGGAACTTCAGACATGCACTACCACACCGGGCTAATTAAGCGTTTTGACAGCTGGGCACAGTGGCTCATGCCTGTAATCCCAACACTTTGGGAGGCCGGGGGCAAGCAGATCACCTAAGGTCAGGAGTTCAAGACTAGCCTGGTCAACATGGTGAAACCCTGTCTCTACTAAAAATATAAAAATTAGCCAGGCATGGTGACTGCTGCCTGTAATCCCAGCTACTCAGGAGGCTGAGGCATGAGAATCGCTTGAACCCAGGAGATGGAGGTTGCAGTGAGCCAAGATCACGCCATGCACTCCAGCCTGGGAGACAAGAGTGAAACTCCATCTCCAAAAAAAAGAGTTTTGACCATTGAGTCAAATCAGGTGTGGTGGCTCATGCATGTAATCCCAACACTTTGGGAGGTCGAAATGGGCAGATTGGTTGAGCCCAGGAGTTTGAGATCAGCCTGGGCAACATTGCAAAACCCCATCTCTACTAAAAATACAAAAATTAGCTGGTGGAATAAGCCTGCCATCCCAGCTACTTGGGAGGCTGAGGTGGGAGGATAGCTTGAGCCCAGGAGGTCAAGGCTGCAATGAACTGTGATTGTGCCACTACACTGCAGCCTGGAAGACAAGAGTGAGACCTTGTTTAGCAATTTAAATTTATTTATTAAATTATGTATTAAACTTTTTTTTTTGAGATGGAGTTTCACCTTTGTTGCCCAGGTTGGAGTGCTCGGCTCGCTGCAAACTCCTCCTCCCAGGTTCAAGCGATTCTCCTGCCTTAGCCTCTCAAGTAGCCAGGACTATAGGTGCCCACCAACACGCCTGGCTAATTTTTTCTATTTTTAGTAGAGATGGGGTTTCACCATGCTGGTCTTGAACACCTGACCTCAGGTGATCCACCCGCCTCAGCCTCCCAAAGTGCTGGGATTACAGGCGTGAGTCACCGCGTTAGCCAAATTTAAACTTTTTTTGAAGTTTAAAGGATTAAGTTTGAAGGATTTAAAGGACAATTTAAATTTTAAATAATTCAATCAATAGTCAAAACTCTCTTTTTTTTGACCATACTCTTCTTGAATCTCAACTTTGGGCTTTGTTTATTCTATGGTATGGTTGTTTTCTTAATTTCTGCTGTTATCTTTATTGTTTCTTTCTCTTTCAGTTGGACACTTACCTTGTTAATTTTCAGCTTTTTATCCTAATATAAGCAAGAAAGGTAACACTTGCATTTTCTCCTACATGCTGTCTTGACCGAATACCACAAGTTTCTATGTATAGTTTGTTTTCATTACGTTCTGAATTATGCTCTGATCATTCTCATTTCTTCTTTTGACTCCTGAGTTATATCTTAGTATTGGATTTTTAACTCTTCACCTTTATTAATTTTATCCTGAATTGCATACAAGGTGATCTGAAACAGATTTCTTACCTCACAGTAAATGAGTGCCTCTGCTCTCTTTGCCCCAGCCTTACCCCTGGGGCTATCAATGAGAGTCTATGAGATTTTTTTCCTACCCAAGTGAATGAGGTCAAGCAAAACAAACAAAAATCCAGACTAGGTACAGAATGACTATATTTGAAATGATTATTAAAATAGCGCTATGCTCTGAATGCTTGTGTCCCTCCCAACCCCACAAATCTGTATGTTGAAATCCTAACATATGAACGATGATGGGTCGAGCCTTTGAAAAGTGACTAGGTCAAGAAGGTGAAGGCCTCATGAGTGGGATTAGTACCTCTAAAGAGGCCCAAGAGTTTCCTTTGCTTCTTCTACCATGTGAGGACAGTGAGAAGGTGCCCACCAGACATGAAATCTGCCAGTACTTTGATCTTTGACTTCCCAGGCTTCAGAACCATGGGAAATAAATTTCTATTGTCTATAAGCTATTGGCTTATGGTATTTTGCTATATATAGCAGCCTGAATGGATGAATACAAACAGGGAGAGAGGAACTATTGCAATAGGGTCAGGGAGACTATTGCAATAAGGAGAACGCTTCAAAGGTAAGATCTGCAAGCATCTCAAAGATCAGATACAAACAGGTTTTTTCTCTTTTTCTCTTACAGGGAGGAATAAACAGGCTAGAAAAAAACTAGTGTGGAGGAGAGGAGCAGGTAACATTAATGGGACAATTGAACAGGAAATGTCCTTCCTGGTGGCTAGCCAATTTTCAGGAGGGGCGGTTAAGGGGGGACTATTCCACAGTCCAGTGCTGGCTCAGGCTGAGGGTGGATCAAAGTCCAGCGGTTTACCGGGAAGGGAGAAGCATAAAATTGGGTCAAATTAAAGGGCATTTTGTTCAGATTAGTCTATGAGGAGAAATAGTTCAACTAATTATTCTGAGGCAAAGAATGGGATTTGGAGGATCTGAGTCTGGCTTAATCATAGGTAAATGAAGGGGTTATTCACAGTTCTAGTGGTTCTTTGCAATAAGCCATTTCCTGAAATGTAACAAGAGGGAGAGATTTCTTAACTATCACTGTTTTCCAGGAGCACAGGGCTCAAGTAAAGGTTAATACTGTAGTCAGAGGCCAGGTACCACATAAGCAGGAGACAGGGAGACAGGTGGGGACTGTTTTACATGTCATACTACCTCTCTACATTTAGCATGTCCTCAATGGGACTATTCTCACTGGCATTTGTGTTTAGGGGAATAAGAATTATATCTATTCCAGCAACACATATGAAGTATAAGCCATGATCACAATGCATCAAGTCAACCTGAAGGGTCTTAGCTACCAAGTAATATTCATCTCCCCACCTCACTGGTTACCTTGCCCAGCCCCCAAGTTGAATTCAGGTGCCCCTTCTCCTTACTGGACCAGTTATGATAGTAATTTAGGCACCTGTATTAAGAAACCATGAAGCTTTTTGTTCCTCCTTTCCCATAGGCTTCCAGAAAATTTCAGCAGGGGTATAGAGTCTGTGGTCCTTCAAGAGTAGAGAGAATATGGCTTAAATCTAAGGATCTTTCTCCTTTAAACAACTTAGATATGGGTAAAAGAAGAAAGAGGGACCAGGGAATGCAAGACACAAACACCGTTTTTGGTCCTCTCGAAGCTGGGTACCAGGCAGTAAGGCCATTGCTGATAAATCCATTTTGGCTTTGAGAACCCCCTAATCCAAGTTGTATCACACAGTTTTCCAAGTGGGGCCAAGGGGTATGTCTTGGGTGACCTGGACTTAACTGGCACTACAATAACCTTGTTTAGCAATAATGGCTTTAGAGTGATGTGGTTAGTGAATTTTTTTTTATTCCTCTTCTTCTTTCATTCTTTCACTTCCCTAACTCTTCCCGTATTTTGTGTAAATGCTAATTCCTTGATCAAATTCCTTATTCCTGTAATGTTTGTAGGAGCATTTTTTCTCATGGCTACATTGCATTAAGTCTACCTCACATTGACACGTTTTGCTACCAGAAGTGGTAGCGGAGACACAGAATCTTAGGGATGGAAATCTGGAATTTGTTCTCTGATCTGACTGGATCAAAAGGCAATAACGTTTCCATTGCCAAGGTAATTGACAGTCTGTGGTAAAAGTTACTTATCACTTGTAGTCACTTGGTTTGTTAACTAATGCCTAGACACAGGATTTACTTATATTAAATCAAAGTGAAATGCCAGAATATCCTTCCTTGGTATACAGGGAATGGTATCAAGGAATGGTATCAAGGGGTGAAATTACACATAACTTACTCACTCACATCCTATCTTCTCTGGAAGGACCCAGAGGACACTCTCTTCACTAAGGCTTTAAAAAAAAATCATTGGCAGGGGGTACTATTCTTGAAAAGCTCTAATGGCTATTATCACAGGTCAGGAGTGATAAAGGATACGCCCATTGAAATTGGCTTCTGGCCAGGGGCAGTGGCTCATGGCTGTAATCCCAGCACTTTGGGGTGGGATTACACTTTTGGGAGGCCGAGGTGGGTGGATCACCTGAGGTCGGGAGTTAGAGACCAGCCTGATAAATATGGAGAAACCTCGTCTCCACTAAAAATACAAAATTAGCCAGGTGTGGTGGTGCATGCCTATAATCCCAGCTATTCGGGAGGCTGAGGCAGGAGAATCGCTTGAACCCAGGAAGCAGAGGTTGCGGGAAGCCAAGATCGTGCCATTGCACTTCAGCCTGGGCAACAAGAGTGAAACTCCATCTCAAAAAAAGAAATTGGCTCCTTAAATTCAATGGAGATGATGGGAGTTAGGATGTAGTTAAAGCACAAGCGGAAAGATTTAACATCCAGAAACAAAGAGTTTGGTTACCATATCCGGCAGCTGAGCAAAATGGTAATCAAAATGGTTTCACCCACAAAAATCTTTAGGGTTAACTGACAGTGGTGCCTAGAACTGAAATAGAGAAGCAGGATATTAAACTTTTATCAATTTACATATGAAAAAAGCAAACTGTAGGTCTAGTGAATAAATTTCTATCTTTAATTACAAGCCACAGCTTCTTATACAGTTTTTAGATTTAAATCAGCTTAGATCATTGACATTTAATTATTGCTGTATTAATGAAATAAAATAAAATTTAGGTTTACTATTGTTTTATTCTGTTTCTTGTTCCTGGGTTACCTGAATCTTTTTTAGTATTCCACCTTAATGTACTGATGCTTTTGAAAATAATCTGTGTAGGTTTTTAGCGAAAAATCTGTGTTGCTCTAGGGATGATACAAATACTTAATTTCTTACAGTCTACTGTATAGTATCAATATCTTGAGGTCAGGAGTTTGACATTAGCCTGGGCAACAGAGTGAGACCCCATCTCTTAAAAAAAAAAAAAGAAAGAAAGAAAGAAAAAAATTAGCTGGACGTGGTAGTACACGCCTGTAGTCCCAGTTACTGAAGAGGCTGAAGTGGGTGAATCACCTGAACCTAGGCTGAAGCTGCAGTGAGTCATGATCACAGCACTGCACTTCAGCTTGGGTGACAGAGACTTCAACTTAAAAAAACAAAACTGTATATGCTCTACAGAGAATCACATAAAACAATGTTAATTTTTTTCTTTCAATTAACAAATGTAATTTTTAAAACCTCAAGAGAAGTCTGTTATATTTACCCTATACATTGTGCCTTCTTTATTCCCGCCATTCTAAGTTTCCTTCTGCTATAATTTCCCTTCTAGAAAGAAGGGAAATCTTTTTAGCAGCTTTTTTTTTAGAATTTTTTTTAGAAAAAAACTTCCCTTGACAATTCTTTTACAGCAGGTTTACTAGTGATAAATCCTGTTAGTTCTCCTTCATTTGAAAAATGTCTTGACCTTTTCTTTTTATTTGTACCTTTTTGACTCCTTTATAACACTTAGGTACTTTGAAAAAGTTTTCTGATCAAATCTTCTCTCCCCCCAAAACTATAATGAAGAGTACAGATTTATGCCAAATGTCTGTGACAGCAAAGTGTTTTTAATAAACATCAATGAAAATACACAGTTAGAAGTTCAAAAAATGTCTATGACTAGCCAATAAATTGCTGCCACTTTTACAGCTAATGCTGGTGTTCCTGAAATTTGAAACATAGTACTTTTCAAGAACTGTGGACAAGTTTGATTACCACAAAAATAACAGGCAGAGTGTTCTATTGTTTTTGTTTTCTCCTGAAACTTAAACTCTGAATAGCAACAGATTGCAGCAAATATAGCTCAGGATATTCTGAAAAATACAGCCCCAGGAGATGGCCAGTTAAAATGTGGACCACATTTCAATTCCACCTTTCCAGTGGAGATAATCAGTAGACTCAAAGACATCCAAGGGATGGATGAGTAACCATAGTTGAAAATGCTGACACAAAGTATTATTTGGCAATAATAAACTGAGGTGAAATGGTGCCAAGTAACTGATGTTGTGGAAGTTATGTTCTGGTCTGACTAGAATACAGCAATAAAAGTTGAGAGGTTAATAAGGGTAAAAGACAGAACCTTCAGATAAATGAACAGAATGAGAAAGAATTGATTCAAAAAACATACTTCATTGTGATGACAAGCAAATTAAGGAGAAGGATGAAAAAAAGCAAGGTGAAAAGAAATAGGAAAAATAGTTCAGGCTGTAGAAAAATTTTTTCACAACAGCAAGGAAATTCTCTTGACAGAGAAATTTCTTGGTAAAATAAACATGGAGATGAACTAGAACAGGTATGAGGTTCTGGAAGAGGAAACATTTGCATAAATGTGACTTTCTTATCCAGCCACACTAACTCTATTTCTTAAGAGCAATACAATTTCCAAAACTTTCTTGTTCAAAGCTCAGATTTACACAATGCCACCTCTAAGAGGCAGGACACTAGCCTAAACTAAAATGTTCCTTATGTCTGTTCTTACTGTCTTCTCCTCTGGCTTGAGAGATGTTTTGATTTGCAAAAGTACTGGCCAATACAACAAAATAAAGACATAAATTAAGTCATAATAGAATTTTACATATGTTTCCTTATATTATGTTCATTAATGCATTACCTGCCATAATAATTTCACTCAGTTAAAAAATGAGTATGATGGTTTAAAGCTGGTTCAGTCATGATTTTATAAGCTTATTTATCAAGAGTGAAAATAGAAGACTATTAAAAATAGTTAAAAAGGTAACGTGTCATAGTGTTTAATGTTTCTGTAATTGTTGATAAGGCTTGTATCTAAGTCTGATGCAGAATTATTAATGGCACTCAAATTGTTCTTTTCTCAGCCACATAGTATCCACTGGTGCTATGAATCTGGAAGAGACTGGCTATGGCTACCACTTCTTGTCTTCAGTTGTGACTGTGCAATATCAGCAAGTGCGCTTTGTATCTTTTCCAGAAGCATGTCTCCTCGATAAACAACATCCTCCAGACATGTAGCAGCTTCATGGTTTTCTTCTTCTAGCTTATATAAGCTAGCAGCCTTTGTAAAACACAAATTTTAAAATCTTTAGAGTTTAGAAGGAGAGAAGCTGTCGCAGATGTACTTATTTTTAAATCTGGATGACTTTGCAATCATTGTGACATATTTTTCAGTAAAAAAATTCTAAAAATCAGATAACTTTTAAGAATTTTCCCCATGTGAATTATTAAAAAGAATGAATTTTCAATTAGAGATCTCTAGATATCTGTAACTCCCTTCCACACTACGTTTGGACACCATTATTCTACTCCACATCTAGAATGCTACCCTCCTCTCATTCTTCACTAGGAAAAGAGACAAAATTGAGGAAAATAAGAGGTTTTCTTATCAGGGAAAATTGAATATTATCACAAAAGGTACTATGATTTGAATGTGTCCCCTCCAAAATTCATACATTAAAATCTAATCCCCAATGTGATGGTACTAAGAGGGGGAGGGGCCTTTAAGAGGATATTAAGTCATGAAGGCAGAGCTCTCATAGATGGAATTAGTACCCTTAAAATATGGCTTGAGGTTGAAGAGGGAGCTCTTGCTCTTCTGCCTTCTGCCTTCAGCCATGTGAGGAAACAGGAAGAAGGTCCTCAACATGGTCCTAAACATGGTACCATGTTTAATAAAAATTCATTACTCATGCACAATGAGTAATAAATGCCTTGATCTTGGACTTCCCAGACTCCAGAACTGTGAGAAAATTAATTTTTGTTCTTTATAGATTACTGTCTCAGGTATGTTGTTATAGCAGCACAAATGGACACAGACAAAAGGTATTAAATCTACCTCCTTTAATTCAAAATTCTCTATTACTGGTAAAATTCTCAAAGGAATAGAGGCTTACCTGTAAAGCAGCTGTAGATTCTTCACTGGGTAAGGAATCTATCAAAACATCAATGTCTTTTGCTGTTCGGGCAATCAGTGCTGCAAAAAGCTGGGCATACTCTAGAGATAAAGATACTGCTAGATTAGGATATTACAAAATCTCAAGTTTTCAGAAACAAATTTTAAGTTCATGAAACCAGCAACTTCATATAGCTTTTTCTGCCCTAAGATTCTAATGCTTCGGCCAGGCGTGGTGGCTCACACCTGTAATCCCGGGACTTTGGGAGGCCAAGGTGGGCGGATCACAAGGTCAGGAGTTTGAGACCAGCCTGACCAACATGGTGAAATCCCATCTCTACTAAAAATACAAAAATTAGCCAGGCATGGTGGCATGTGCCTGTAATCCCAGCTACTCAGGAGGCTGAGGCAGGAGAATCCCTTGAACCTGGGAGGAAAAAGTTGCAGTGAGCCAAGACTGCATCACTGTGCTCCAGCCTGGGTGACAAAGCGAAACTCCGTCTCAAAAAAAAGATTCTAATGAGTCTAATGATTAAATATACACCAATCCTGTTATACATTTAGCTCAAATTGGGAATTAAGCATAATGTATGTCATTTCATTTATCATGACAATATAGTGGTCACTTGAATAAAGAAATTTATAAATGGGATGCCTTCCTTGTTAAGGTCCCTCACTCAGCTAAATTAATACAAATTCTCCTCTAAAGGAGTAACAATCTATTATCTGACATGAACCAGAATTATGAGATGTTAGGTGAATTGACTAAGTTTTTTACAACAAACAAAACTTGCAATATCCTCAAGTAACAATATTTTTAGAAACAAAATAAGCTGAATTTCTCAAGATATCTAATTTTAAAGGATAACAAAAAATGTGAGTCAAAATAAGAGAAGCTAAGAAAATCTGTTTACCTTCTGTAGGGTTAGCAGGCTGGTCTTTGTTAATTGCTGTCTGAATATTACTGAAAGAGGCAGGAGGACCACATTGCTGCAATACTCCAATGGCATTACAAAACTGATCTGCAAGCTTAGGCCAAAGAAAACACGTCGAGGTTAGAAAGGACTTATCAGTTTTAAGGACTTTATTGGTAACAGCAACAACAACAAGTTTCTGTAATGATAATCTCTGAGCAAGGGAATAAAACAGAAAGGAGTAATTGTTGATAAAATAAGCCAGTTGATTACATGTTTTAATTCTGCAAAGAAACTAAGTTTGGTATCAATCTAGGTGAAGTTAAATTTGATATAAATCTAGTTGGAACAGTTGAAATACAAAACAATCTTTCTCTTCTTGTGATAGTAAAATGGTAAGAGAACACTGGCCAATACTTATTGTAAGCCACAAGTAAAGACTTTTTGGGGACAGTGATGGAAAAGGCAAATTTGACTTGTAAATATCTAAGTATGGCATCACGTTTAAAAAAAATTTATTACTCATGCACAAAGTATATGATTCCTTTTCTGAGAGTGGAGTAGTTATAAGTGTAAAAAAAATAGTGGGGAAAAGGCTGCTCAGAAAAGCACCTTGAGTAATCAGAAATGTATCTGTTCAAGACTCAATTTTTAAACTCTTGTACTCTAAAAGTACTCTGTAAGTACTTTTAAAGATGGAGAATATCAATTCCTTACCATTTCCAAATTAAATACACCTATCCTCCCCACCAATTTCTCTCACCTAGTCTTGACCTCTCAAACCTCCTATTTCAAATAAGCATTTCCTTTGGGTTTCTCTGCCATTGTTTCAATGACAGAACTCAAAGGCAACTGTTTCCTCTGTTTAATATTTAATTTGTATTGAAAGTCTCCTAGTCAACCAGTCTAACTTCAGATTCTTACTTTCCTTTGATCTTCAAATTATGCTAATACTACAAATCTTCCTCTTTTCCTTCTATCATTATTGTTGCTTAGTTCAACCAATTATCTCACACCAGAATTATTACAATAGCCTTCTTGTTGTTTGCCAGTTCACCAGGTGATTTATTTTACCCTGATAAAAACATTTAAGCTTACTCCACCACTGTCTTCAAGGTAAATCTCCAACTCAGGCTGTTTTGAAGCTTTCAATAATCTAAGTCAACTCTACTGACTTGTTTTCCACTACTCCCTGATATTTACCTAACTAGTCATAAAGTCACTTATGACTAAATGACTTTGCCCAGGTTTTAATAATAGTAATGGAGCAATAAGTGCTCAGACGCTATACAAACCTAGATCCCAGCTCTATTAACCCAGGTAGCATTTTTCATTTTTAAATTGGATAGATTCTCCTATTACAGCATTGTTGTGAGGAAGAGGAAACACACAAAATATTCAACACAGTGTCTATCTGTTCCATCCTTCAAAAACTTTTAGGCCGGGCGCGGTGGCTCAAGCCTGTAATCCCAGAACTTTGGGAGGCCCAGACAGGCGGATCACGAGGTCAGGAGATCGAGACCATCCTGGCTAACACAGTGAAACCCCGTCTCTACTAAAAAATATAAAAAACTAGCCGGGCGAGGTGGCAGGCGTCTGTAGTCCCAGCTACTGGGGAGGCTGAGGCAGGAGAATGGCTGAGGCAGGAGAATGGCGTAAACTCGGGAGGCGGAGCTTGCAGTGAGCTGAGATCCGGCCACTGCACTCCAGCCTGGGCGACAAAGAGAGACTCCGTCTCAAAAAAAAAAAAAACTTTTAAGATCCATTTAGTCAACAAAACTTTATGGAAAATAACTATGACAAGTACTACATTTAAACACTATAGAGACATAGTGAAAGTGACATAGCTTCTGCACTCATGGTTTTCAGAGGGTAGAACAAATGTTAAAAGTTATACAAATCTGATTAGGATAAATGCTAAGATTCCCCCTATTTTGGTTCACATCACTCCATATTCCAATTTACTTCAGAACCTAAAGCTGAAAATACTCAATTCATTATAACTCCCTAACCACATACTGTTTTTCCATCACTTAAATGTCTCCTGAGTATATGACCTTTTTTTAACCTCCTTAAGGAGTATCTCTTTGCAAACATGATAGTGCTTATACACAGTAGGCACTCATACTAGTTATCCTAAAGGCTTTTCTCCAAAATCCAATTATCAGCATGCCTAACCTGGAGTTAAGGCCATATTCACTCTGTCCTTACTATCCTTCTAGTTACAAGATATGTATGAATATGCAAAAGTTTCCCTAAAATAAGATTTCTATCCAGCAGCATCATTACAATTTGATTTTGTAAAATCTCAAAGGAGTAGTTCCCTGAGGAAGGCTGACTGGCAGCTCAGGCAAGTCCCTGCAGGGCAGACTTTATCTTGGTGAATTCAACATTTAGAAGCTGGTCCTCTCAGCCTTAAAAACTAGTGTTATTCACCCAGGGTAGATCAGTTTATCACAAGTAGATTCACACTCTTCAAGTGTACAAAGCCTGATGTATTAAGAATAATGCCAAGTTATTAGCTTACAGTGAGGAAAAAAAACTGGCAAAGAAACCAGGTACTTAGGTTTTCATCTCAGCATGTTTTCTCTCTAGCCCCTTATCTAGGACGTTAAATCACAATCAGACAATGAGAAACATAACTATCAATGGAAAACTATTACAGAAAACTATGTAACTGGTAATGGTAATAAGTATACCCATTGCCGCATGAGAATACCCACTGACGTCTTGGTCAACGGGATGCATATATTACGTCGGTCCCCTATGGTTATAACAACGCTGAAAAATTCTTACTGCCTAGTGACATCATAGCGGTGTGTGCTTGTGGTGACGCTGCTGTAAAGCAACCTACCGCACTGCCAGTGTATGAAAGTATAGCACATACAATTAAGTACAGTCCATGATACTTGATAATGATACTAAATGACTCTGTTACTGGTTTATGTATTTACTGTTTTATCGTTATTTTACATTGTACTTCTACTTATTAAAAAAAAAAAGTTATCGCCGAAACCATGCATTTCTCAGAACATAACCCCTTCGTTAAGGGCCCATGACTGTATGCGCAACCTCTGGCTTTGCTTCTGCTTTCCACTCCGGCATAGCGTGGAGGAAAAATAACCAGAAGGAACAAAGTTGGGGAGCTACTTACAAGACTTGGCCTTTAATAGAGAGTAGAATTTGGGAGAGACGTTAAAAAAGACTTGTAAGCCGGGCACGGTGGCTCACACCTGTAATCCCAGCACTCTGGGAGGCCGAGGCGGGAGAATCGCTTGGGGCCGGGAGTTCGAGACCAGCCTGGGCAATATGGTGAAACCCCGTCTCTACTAAAAATACAAAAATCAGCCGGGCGTGGTGGAGGGTGCCTGTAATCCCAGCTACTTGTTTGGCGGAGGCAGGAGAATCGCCTGAACCCGGGAGGCGGAGGGTGCAGTGAGCCGAGATCGCACCACTGTACTCCAGCCTGGGCGAAAGACACTGTCTCCAAAGTAAAAAAAAAAAAAAAAGAAAAGAAAAGAAAAGAAAAAAGAAAGACTCAAATAAACGGAAAGACATACGAGAATCAGATTTCCTATCATAAAGATGTCCCCAAACTGATGTATTCTGAGGGGTGGCCAAGAGACAAGAGATGGAAGGAGGCTCTGGGCCCACAGGAAGGAGCGAAGATGAAAGAAAATCTCTCACCTCAGCGTCGCTCCGCACCAACCTGAAAGCGCTGGTGAAGGAATACTCTCGGCTGACATTTCATTACAAAAACCCAGTCATCCACAGCACGAGATCTCCATTGATGGATTCAAATTGATGAGGAAAGAGCTCCTGCTTCTCCTCCCAACCCCCAAAAGAGATCCCGTAAGCACTGCTGACAAGAAAATAAAACTGTCCTCAGGGAATACGACAGGACCGCGCAGCCGACAAGCCTTGGCGGCCTCACCCGGACAAGAGCAATCTCCCCGGTCTCCTCAAGCGAAAGAGGCTGCTCCCTCCCGCACCTTCGAGCACCGCCCGGCAGCCGGCCTCAAACCTCCGAGTTCGCGGTGGCGCCTCCCGAGAGAGCGCTTTATGCCGAAGCCCTGTTTCTCAGTCCGCTTTCCACTTCCAAGTTTTGCCTCTTGGGCCCCTTTTCTCCCTTGCTTTACCTCAGGAAAGAGAAAGACAGACGCTAATCGAATGAAATTCCTCACCGAATTCACAGCGTCTTGAAGCTGCGTGAGCCGATCCGCCATGTTCCTCCTCCAGCAAACAGACGCCAAAACAGCTGCTCTTCCGCGACTGGGCAGCTCTGGTACGTGTCATGGCCAATCCCAGCGCTGCCTTCTTGGAAGGGGTGGGGTCAGAGAGAACTCCCCGCCCCGTCAGGAGTGGGTGGTACTGCCGAGGCGGCCTTAGAGCGGGCTACAGCGGAGGAGAGGCTGCATCTTTTGAGTAACTGGGGAGTGGTCTGGGGTCCATCGCTTTGAGGGGCTGAAATACTCTCTTAGAGGTTGTTAGGTGTTAAAGGCTTCAGAGATTGTTGGATTCAGCGGGGATTTTTTTTTTTTTTTAGTGATTTCTCCTATCCTCTCATGTGTTTACTTATTGACCACATTGAAGAGTAGATATATTATTTATTTATTTATTTATTTGGAGACGGAGTCTGGCTCTGTCGCCCAGGCTGGAGTGCAGTGGCGTGATCTTGGCTCACTGCCAGCTCCGCCTCCCGGGTTCACGCCATTGTCCTGCCTCAGCCGCCCGAGTAACTGGGACTATAGGCGCCCGCCACCTCGCCCGGCTAAATTTTTTTTTTTTTTTTTTTTGTAGTAGAGACGGGGTTTCACCATGTTAGCCAGGATGGTCTCCATCTCCTGACCTCGTGATCCGCCCTCCTTGGCCTCCCAAAGTGCTGTGATTACAGGCATGAGCCATCGCGCCCGGCCAAGAAAAATCAGCTGCACAGTTTAGATTTAGAGTTGGGACTAGTGTGAAGAGTGATAATAGAAACTTGGTATTTAAGGAAATTTAGCCTGAGGATAGTCTGGCAAGAAATGAGTTTGGAGTCGGCAAATAACAGGTTTGGAGACATCAAACAAACTCTCATATCCTCTTTCTCAGGCTGATTATCCGTGATTACCTTCCTGCGGCGCTTGGATAGGTGGTGGACACAGTCCCCGGGGAACTCAGCTTGCTGGATTTACCCCAACCCTTGCTGGGAAGCACCACTTCTGCTTCACACCCATGCCCCACCCTCATCCCCAAACAGTCTATAGACTTACTGGGGCCTCATTAAGAACGTGAATGAGGCATGTTCCCTATAATGGGACTAATGAGAAATCACTCTATAATTTGTTCTAACTGTAACTTGGGGGGAATCTACAACCTTCTCCTCCCACCCTCACTTGAGAGTGTACCTTACTGAATGCCTGCCACATGCCAGGAAGTATATCCAGTGCTCAGTGTGCAAAGATGAATAAGCCAAGGACTCACCAAGAGGAAGGTTTTGCAGTTGTCCAAGATTAAGGTGAGCTGGGCCTAGAATAGGGTGTTGACCCTGATAAGAGAGGAAAGAAAGACTAAAATATATTTTTGAGAAAAAAAATTAATACGGATTGGTGACTGGTTGAATACAGTTTAGTCCACTCCGTAAGAATACTAAGTTTTGCAGCGTAATTGAAGGGAACTTGGGCACTTGAAGTAGAGAAGTCACTTCAAGACAACTCATATTGTGACACGGTTTTTGTCCTGCCACTATCTTCCTAGTAGGTCTTCCGTGCCTCCACAGAGACCTCAGGTTGATGTCCAACTATCTCTGCCTGGTTGTCAAGGTTTACTATAATCTGGCTCCAGCAAACAGACCCAGCCTCACCTCTTGATAGTTTTCTGAGTGAAATAATCCTCTGTTTCAGCCACCGGCCCTGACCCCTTGGTTTTCCTGGTTCTTCAGCCTCTTTTGGCCACGGATCTTCTTAAGAATCAGATAAAAGCTGTGGGCCCTTTCCCCAGACCAGACTCTCAACTTAGCCTACATCTGAAAAGGGGTTTATGAAGCTCTTGAAGCTGTAGACTTCAGGAATAACTCACCTGCCAAATATAGTCTGTGCATCTAGCTCAGGATTTCTCAATGGCCGCACTCTTGACTCTTTAGGCTAGATTATTCTTTGTTGTGGGATGCTGACCTGTGCATTGCAGGATGTTTAGAAGCATCCCTGTCCTCTACCCCTGAGATGCCAGCAGCATCCCCCCAATCCATTTATGACAACATGAAGTATCTCCAGATAGTCCCAAATGTCCCTGGGGGTCAAAATTGCCCCCAATTGAGAACCACTAGTCTAGCTGTTTCCTCATTCTTTATCTTTCCCAAAGCAATTTCTTTCCTGCTATTTAATCCTTACCCTACCTTTTTAAGTTTTACACTTCTCATATAAATTTTATGAATTGCAAGAGTCCATAGGGACCTCTCCTTTCTTCCTTTCATAATTTGGACCCTTTCTCATATGCTTTTTCATTTGCTTCTCTGGCATTGCCAACTGGATTATATGGTTTTAGGAGCAGGAACCCAGTATTACAGATCTCATATTTTAAACACACAATTTTGGTGAATACTTTCTTTGAAACTTTATATTATTAAAAGTTTCAAAGATATAGAAGAGTAGAGAATATAGTGAACCCTCACATAACCTTCACCAGCTTCAGCAGTGAGCCACTCAATAGTCAATCTTGTAAGTGCTTTGGTTTTTATGACTGTAGCAACTATTTTTTCAGAAAAACACCTTTAACAATTTTTAAATACCTTTAATACAGTTGTAATTTATTAAATATCTAAAATGTTCCTAGTGCTGGGATGAATAACTATAAATAAGCATTTTTCTACACCACACTCCTTGAAATTCCCTAAACATGTTCTGCTGTTTTACAAAAATGCACACCATATAAAAACACCTATAATTCTTTCTCCCATGTATGAAATGCCCACACTTCCATCCACATCTCCACTTTGCTCCCTTGGTGATTGTCCACACAGTCCTAAAACCTTATTTTATTATTTATTTACTTATTTGAGACAGAATCTCACTCTGTCACCCAGGCTGGAATGCAGTGGTGGGATCTCGGCTCACTGCAACCTCTGCCCCCAGGGTTCTAGTGATTCTCCTACCTCAGCCTCCAGAGTAGCTGGGATTACAGGCGCCCACCACCACACCTGGGTAAGTTTTTTGTATTTGTAGTATAGACGGGGTTTCGCTATGTTGGCCAAGCTGGTCTTGAACTCCTGCCTGAGGTGACCCACCCTCCTTGGCCTCCCAAAGTGCTAGGATTACAGGCGTGAGCCACTGTGCCTGGCCTATTATTATTTTTTTACTCACCACTATACTAGTGAACAAAATCTTATTTTAAACATACCTTTATAAAAGCCTTTCCTGAATTCTGAAAGTAAGTTAAATGCTCCCAATCTTTAACACAATTGTTCCTTACACTTCTGTTATTGCACTTAGCACACTGAGGTATAATTATCTGTACCTCACGCTAATTCACCCACCAGTCCACGGGCTACTTGCAGGCAGAAGACATATCCTGTTTCCATATTTCCAGTACCTAGCACCTAACATTTAGCCTGGCACATATTTATCAACCAAATGAATGAGTTTCCTAGCATAATAATTTCCATATAATAGCTACTAAATAAGCTATTTTATTGAATAAGCTATTATTCAACAAGCTATTTTATTGAATTTAACTTAATGAACAGTCAAATAATGTAAATCACTACCCACAAAAGAGCACAAGAATTAAAAAATACAGGATGAAGGTGAGATTAGAGTGGGAAAGAATGAACGGGCAAATTTCACAGAGGTTCAATCCTGCCTTTTCCCTGGATCCCCGCTCCCAGCTCCATTTAAGGTATCTTAGGTTTTATTTAAAAATCTAGGGTAAGTTTTTTCCCTTCCTCCTTCTCTCCCTCCTGCCCTTCCTTCCTTTTCTAAATTTTAACAGACTTTTGTTTTATTAGATACAGAGTCTTGCTCTGTCACCCAGGCTGGAATACAGTGGCATGATCATGACTTGCTGCAAACTCAAACTCCTAGGCTCAAACAATTCTCCTGCCTCAGCCGCTTGAGTATCTAGGACTACAGATGTGCCCCACCACGCCCAGCTAATTTTTTTTTCTGTGTGTGTGTGTGTGTTTTTTTTTTTTGTAAGAATGAGGATCTCACTATGTTGTCCAGGCTGGTCTTGAACTCCTGGACTCCATAGATCCTCCTGTCTCGGCCTGCTAAAGTACTGGGATTACAGGCATGAGCCACTGAGTCTGGCCTACACAGACTTTAAGGCTCTAGTAATGCGTATCTTGGATTTGGGAATCTTTTCAGTTTCTGCATTTCCTTTCAATACATAGGAAAAATGAACTCATCTGCAAAGTTGCTAAGCTTGTTTGCTTCTCAGCTCTCCAATGGAACTCTGACATGAGCATGGAACCCCAGCCAATCATCCTCCCAAGCTGTCACAATACCGTACTTAGAAGCCAAGGTAATGAGGCCCTGTTCTGACTGCTGACACATCTGTGATCAGCTGTCATGCATGCACAGGCAACTGCAGGCCTGGGGAACTGCGATGCAAAGGTATGGAGGAGAGAGAATAGGCTCAGTTCAGGAAATTGAAATTAATTCAATGTGGCCAGCATGTAGAGGTCTGATTTTAGTTGCAGCAAGAACCTAGGGAAATGAACAGGAGTTGCATCACAAAAAGCATTTATGTGTCATACTCAGGAAGACGTACTTATATCTTGAATGCTTTTACAAGAAAACCTTTAAAATTATATGTATCTTTTACAAAATCATAATTTCTTATTCAAAAATGATACACTTCAATGTAGAATTTTTACACAGAAATGTGCAAAGAAAATCATTCTTAATTTAACCACCTAAAGATAACTATTTTAAACATTTTGGCATGTATTTTTCAACCTTTTTTTCTATGCACATAACCAGGAATGCATACTACAAAGAAAACAAGGCAGGCACAGTGGTTATGAGCCTGCAGTCCCAGTTAGTCTGGAGGCTGAGGTAGCAGGATTGCTTGAGTCTGGTGACAGAGCAGGAGCATCGTCATCTTGGACAAACACCGCCACTTTAAGTTCCAGCTCCCTTTCTAGCCTCATGCATTTCAAGGAAATCACTTCTCTTCTAACTATAAGCAGCCAGAAAGAGGAGACAGTAAAACACAGATAAGACAGCTCAGGCACAAAGGGAGGTGAGGGGAAAGTCTCTTGGGTAACTGCCAAACTTCACCCTCATACAATGGACCCCAGTAAAACAGTGGG